ATATATATACAAATCCTTTTATATATATCACCCCCGAATATGTTCGTTTTAACCACATTTTTTGCACTTTCATAAAGATCGCGCGCCTTTTTTTGTATTCAGCCTGGTGCCTCTTCTCTCTCTCCCTCGTCCTGTTCGTCACACGGATTTTTTATCCCCATCCATGATTACCCATCATTGCAAAAACTACAAGATGGAAGGTGAAGTAGTAATAGTTTATGATATAATAATATGTGAGGGTCGTTGAAGGAGGGAAGTTCACTGAAGCGTATGAGTGTGGCATGATGACCTTGGAGGTTTTTTTTGCACCCATTCCTAGTTGACCTTCATCCAGCACGGGACTCCGCACGATTTTCCATACTGCTCAAATTTTCGCATATGCAGCTACTGCCGATGTAACGAAGAGAATATATATTCTCAAACTTTCTTGGTTGAGGGAGAATTTATGCTGATGATCCAGCTCAAAACACCCCGTCAGCTAGCTGTTTTGTCGAACCAGATCCCCCGAAGAATCCCCGAGTATAACTCCTGGGTCCACGAATTGCATTTTAAATAACATGAACAGAAGGAAATATTTAAGAAATATTTTTCTTCGATGATACAAGGGAAAATAGCAAAGAAAGAATGCCTCTTGCCAATATGCATTTTTGCAACTGCACATATACAAAAAATGCATAAATGCTAGCAGCAATAGCATAACCTCTGCTGTAGTAATCTTTCCAAAAAGCATTTATGTGTTAGAATTTCTTGCTTTCACAACACATATTTATCGCAGTTCAGTTCGTTGCCGTTTCAACATAAAACATTTGCAGCATGGACAAATTTCGCACAATTGCTGCGCGGTTCATGAAAGAAGACAGATTCAATGGAACTCAGCTCACAAAAAGACATTCAAATCAGTAGAAAGCTATTCAACTGCACTGAACAGCGGGCAATATGCATCCAAAAAAGGCAAATTTAGCGCCAACGCATGAAATTCCATTTTAAAACGAAGCCCAAAAACAGCAGAAAAACTCTTCAGAAATCAAATAAACCATTACAAGACACTTTGGTCGCTTCAAAGACTGACGATTTTTTTTACAGATAGTTGGTTTGTCGCTCGAAAAATGCTCACATTTACATTACATAACTAATAATGGGGGGGGG